AATTAACCAATCAGAGCGCGCGCTTTGCTGTAGTTATATTATTAAGAAAGTTTTTTCTTCGCCATATTTGTCAACCCTGCGATGCAAAATCCAGTTAAGGCGCTCTCGGTGTATGCTTGTTTTTACTTTTCATTAATATGCAAGGATATTCTCCAGTAGATTAAACATTTTCATCGAAAAAGTCAAAAGGGAGAAATGAACACAAAAGAAGTTTAGAAAGGAAATGATCAGGGATATGAGGTAAATTCTTAGGGTTTAAAAGAAAAAAAACATTTTTGTTAGTTCCTTGGTGTTTTGTGTACAAAATGACCTCTCACGAAGAGTCCTGGACCGTGCCGGATTTGAACCATTTATTCAACTATTCTCATCATTGTATTTCTATACATTATTTGGCAAACTTAGAATCCTTTCTGGTTTTGCTTTCAATGTAATTTTCTCCTTCATTATCTATGCCGGCTGCGAACTTATAGGACTTTCATTTTATCAATGCGGTGCAAAAAAATGTTGCTCCTGAAATCTTTCTTTTCCCACGAACTTTGTTTCACATAAACAATGAAAAACTAGATGTGCTTAGCTAATTCAGTTTTTGCTTTTTTCCATTGTTCCTTTTTTGAGTTGGCATTTTACAACTTCACTGCAAATGAAATTAATATATACGTTATTAACCCAAGTTTGAGGTCAAGATGGCTGGATATTTGCCGAGTTTTTCTTTTGCATTTCTATGGACGAGATGAAGTTGAGGTTCATAAAAATGCGAAAAAACAACGAGGCTAATATCCAGCCATCTTGACCGAACAAGCTTGGTTAATATAGGATTTATTATATTGCCAAAAGATTTCGCTTTATCAAGAAGTTAGAATGACTTGTTTGCTTCGAGAGCCGGGAAAGAAAGTTAACTGTGTTTGTAGCACAACAAACGCACAAGAGTCGTTTCTGTTTTCTTTGTTTTGGCTATCTTCCGCCGCTTTTTGCGTTTCCATCGCCGACATTGTACAAGAATTACGAACGTAGTTCTAATTCAGTTTTTTTCATGCGCAGGATCAATGCAAGCAATCTCGAGTGGGCAAGATGGGCCCATCTTACCTGCTCGGTGGATAGCCTATCCGAACACAGGATTTGCTTCATCTTGCCCACAGGCGCTGTGAGCGATGTAATAAAGATATATTAGTAAGGTTAACTCATCGAAAGGACAGATTATTTTACATTTTAAAATATTTTTCTATCTTCGACAATACAGTTCAAGATTTATTATCTTTCTTACTCCCAACACAGGAAACGTTCGACACTGATGAAACGTGGCAGCATGCGAGACGTTTGTATTATAATGAAAGTGGGCTTTCAAACCGTGTAGGTATTAGGAATTATCTCTAAAGGGCGACAACAGGCAAGGACTTTTTTGAAGAACAATCGATCCCTTAAGATAATAACATCAGTGAATCAATCTTCAAATACAGCTTTGTTCCGGGAAAAATTTGAAACAGTCGTAAGATTTGCATGATGTTTAAGTGGCAGAACATGGACAATCGCCCAAGGGTGGCCAAGGGTAACTCTGGCTTTTCAAACATACTCTTCAGCCTTCATATTTACCCCTATAACTTTAAATGTAGCTCACAGAAATGCATGGCTGGTCATATTTGCTTGTCAGCAAATCGTGTACACATAAATGGAAGGGGAAAAACAGTGACGAAAAAATCTTAAGACGTTTTTCTGCTCGGTTTATCATTTAATAAATACGAAATATTTGTTTTTGTTGTTGTTGTTGTTTTTTTTTGCAACTTCCAATGGAAATACAATGAAAGTGAAGTGCAATGTAGGTCAGTGAAAGTGAAGTGCAATGTAGTTATGATACAGTTGTATAGGATTAAGTTTGACACTCACACTATTCGTCACCAAACAATCGGACACAAATATTTTCAATCAAAATAGTTTTAATTTATTTCAACGATAAGGATCAGTAATGACAGCAAAAGCAAGACAAGTTTCGACAACTTGTTTCCACTTTCTTTTTTCAAGCGAATCATTAACCGTGCGACCCCTAAAAGTGACTAACATCTCATAGCTTGCTCAATTTCGATAGATTAAACGAAAAGCGGAACTCTTAGAAAGGACCGAGTTACCTAAAATAAATTGTTGGCGATTTGCCTGAACATCACTCACAACAGAAGACATTTTATCATCGGTATATGCGTAAGAAAATTTTCCATCAAAATTCATTTCTATTAAATGTATGCTATGTGCACAAAGGAAACCTAGCGATCAACGAAGATGACAATGTTGATGGTCTATTTCCCTAAAATATGTGAAGATAAGAGCTTTCATATGTCGACATTGATAAAACTGCACACGCAACAAAGCACTTGGCGAATTGTCTCTTTTACTACTTGTCTCACTTCACGAATTTTCCAGCAATAAAGAAATGGGTTAAGCGACGAGTTAAAATACAGTAATGAGACTGATACTGCCCAAGCCAAAAAATACGATGAAGACATTGTTCTGTTGCTCATTAAAGCCATCACAACAAGATAAGGAAGATAACAGGCGACCATTGCAAACTGCACGCACAGTGCACTGTGCACTGCTTTTCTGTATTGCTCCGTATTAAGAGAAAATGTTGAGGTTGAATGTTTTTGCCGTACATTCTCCCAAACTTCAGTTTGAAGGCGACGAAGCTTGAGGAAAATGTAAGAGTAAGAGACGGTTGTGATCGCTAAACAAATTATTGTCGTAGAACGGCCATACCATATGGTGATATGGCGGCTTCCGAGGAACGATAGCGCAACGGCACAGGAAACTACCCAAAACGTCATCACAACTGCGTATGTTCGCTTCAATGTTAAAAGCTGTTTGTACCTTAGCCCCAGTAAGAGAGCGAGAAGTCTGTCCACACTTATCGCAGTCAAGGTTAATAGAGATACCGACCCCAACGTGTAGCCTATGATAAAGGATGCAATTGCTGAAAGCCGACAAACATCCCAGTCTTCATAAACCAGAGACATCCAATAGACAATATTAGCAGGTTCTGCAAGAAGGCCAACACAAAGATCAGTTGATGCCAAACAATTAAACAGAAGCTTCGACGGCGGATGGAGGGAAGATTCTCTCCGAAGAGCAACCAAGATCAGAGTATTCCCAAGAAATGCAGTAATGGATAGAAAAATATTGATCGCTGATAAATACATTAGATGTTCACGAATATCGCTTGTAAAAACGGTTGAGCATCGCAGTTCTTCAAATGACATATTTTCCTTTCTATACCCAGTAGAATTTATTGTCGCCATAAGTCCAGCAGAGAGGTTTCAGTGCATTTACTCGAGTCTAGAAACAAGTTTTCCTCAAGGAAATGCTTGAGATAATTATAGGAAAGCAAAGGTCAGATTCTAATTTCACTTTCCCTATGTCGTCACGTCCGGAAGAAAAGATTTAAATTTCGTTTCCTTGTTTACGCATTAATCACAAACCCCACAATCAAAAATTATCTTTAGCTATTAAATAAGGCCCTGACGGATGTAATCCTGCACTGCAATGTTATTTGTTCGCAAACTAAAAGAGTAGATCACAATGGTTGAAAAATAATCTAAGCATCATTAACAATTCTATAAACAGGAACATCTCTCTAACAGTCAGTGAAACGGATATCGAAATTCACCCACGTTTTCTAAGCAAAGTTGAAACGCGTGTAAATGCTTAAGGGCTCTTAACTACGAGTCGCTCCTAAAAAGACTTCTGCGCTTAAAATCACCCGGAGTAATAGCCTTGTATGGTCTAGCTTCAATTCAGATGGGTCTGATCTGGGTGTCCAGTTTAATGTATAGACTACTTCAAAATCGGAGCTCCTATATTTTCACTCTTGTTGACCTAATATCGATTATTAGTTCATCTCATCCGCTTCATCCGTAACTGTTATGAATAAGATAAAAAGAAAGTAATTCAAACACTGGAAAATTATAGACGAACGATCGACGTTTCGGCCATATCACACGGCCTTCATCAGGAAACTGCCGAGTCTGCCTGGGTCACTCAAGTGTCACGTGATAGCTGACTCGGGACGTCCCGTAACAC